GAGGCAGGAGACTCGCTTGAGCCCAGCAGTTGGAGGTTGCTGTGAGCGTGATGCCATGGCACTCTACCCAGGGGGATAGCTTGAGGCTCCGTCTCAAAAAAAAGAAAAAGACAGTCCTACTATGTTGTCCCTTGGTAGAGTGCTGTGGCATCGCAGCTCACAGCAACCTCAAACTCTTGGGCTTAAGTGATTCTCTTGCCTCAGGCTCCCGAGTAGCTGGGACTACAAATGCACACCAGAACACCCGGCTATTTTTTTTTTGTTGCTGTTTGTTTGTTTTGTTGTAGTTATTGTTGTTTAGCTGGCCCAGTCTGGGTTCGAACCTGTCTGCCTGGGTTTATGTGGCTGGTGCCATAACCACTGAGCTACCAGCACTGAACCCAACAGTTATATTTTTTAAGATTGTTAGAAAGAAAAGTCTGGGAAACATTTATTTTTATATTTAGTTGAATGACTGGAGTCAATGGGAAAATGTCTGGCATGTAATAAACTTCAAACTGAAAAAATACTTTCTATGTTTTTAGGTTTTACACACCTGTTAAGTAGACCTTTTTGGAGTTCTGCCAGCCAGTTCAATGGCGTCCTCTACTACTGTGCCTCTAGGATTTCACTATGAAACAAAGTATGTTGTCCTCAGCTACTTTGGACTCCTTTCTCAGGAGAAGCTGCAAGAGCATCTTTCCTCACCCCAAGGTATTCTCTTTGGCTTGTTGTGGTCATATTAGGTCATTATAAGGAGTTGATATGTAAAAGGATATGTATGTAATTTATATGTATGGTTATAAGATTAATGTTACTAAGCTTATAAAGATTAACTTCTTACCCCCATCCCTTCTCACTTACTCGTCCATTCACAGCACTACTTTTAATGCTTTTTCTTCATTGATTTTTTTTTTTTTAATTTTAATAGATTTAAGGGATGTAAGTTGAATTCTAGTATATGTATATATTGTATCATGTTGGAGTCTGGGTTTTTGGTGTACTCATCACTTGAGTACTGTACATTGTACTTTGTTGGTAATTTTTCATCCCTCACCCTCTCCTACTTTTCCCCTTTGTAAGTCTCCAATGTCCAGGCCATCATACCCCTCTGTATGCCCTTGAGTAGACATAGTTCAGTTCTCATGTATAAATGATCACATATAGCATTTACTTTTCTGTCCACTTAGGATAAATGGCCTCTAATTCCATCCAAGTTGTTGTAAAAGACATTATTTGATTCTTTCTTTTCCCTGAGTTGTACCCTATGATGTACATATACCACTTTTTTTTATCCACTCATCAATTAATGGGCACTTAGGTTAATTCTGTATTTTTGCAGTTGTGAATTGTGCTGTGATAAACATATAAATACAGGTATCTTTTTGATTTAATAATTTCTTTTCCTATTAGTAGATAACTAGTAGTGGGATTATATGATCACATAGTAGATCTACCTTTAATTCTTTGAGACCTCTCATACTAATCTCCATAGAGGTTGTACTTATTTACGTTTCCGCCCACGGTATATGAGTGTTCCTTTCTTGGCTTGGCACCTGTAGCTCAAACGGCTAAGGTGCCAGCCACATACACCAGAGGTGGTGGGTTCAAATCCAGCCCAGGCCTGCCAAACAACAGTGACAACTACAACCAAAAAATGGCTGGGCTTTGTGGCAGGCACCTGTAGTCCCAGCTCTTGGGAGGCTGAGGCAAGAGAATTGCTTAAGCCCAAGAGTTGGAGGTTGCTGTGAGCTATGATGCCACAGCATTCTACCCAGGGCGACAGCTTGAGGCTGTCTCAAAAAAAAGAAAAAAAAAAGTATTCCTTTTTCATTGCATCTATACCAGTCATTCTCAACCTGTGGGGTGAGACCCATAGGAACTGTATTAAAGGCTTGTGGCATTAGGAAGGTTGAGAACCACTGACCTATAGTAACATCTGTTGTTTTTGGACCTTTTAATAATGGCCCTTCTGGCC